GTTTACTAATCTTAACAAAAATAATCTTGTTTTAATATCAGGAGCTATCAGCAACTCTTTACAGCGGTATTCAGTACACAAATTGTCTGGTTCACCCATTATTTTCCATACAGAAACATTTAAAACCAACCGTAATCATGTTAGAAAGAATTTTTAAAAATAAACCGGATAAATAATTAGCAGCAGCACTTAATGAACTTTACGACAGCCTTTTTGAAGGTAAAGCAAACTTAAATAGTAGCTTTATTACATCTTATATCAATTATAACATAGGACAAAATATTATAGTCACATGGTGTGGTGAGTTCGACGGTTGTTATTGGACCTGTTGGGAGTAAACAATAAAATTATATCAATCAAGGGTTATATGATGTGCATCACAATGGCATTTTTTACGTTATAATTTCTGAGCTTCGGTTAAAACAGGATATTTGTAGCTTCTGCATTGGGCCGTTCCCAAAGCAGGGGAGACAAACTAACCTTGTCGAAGCGCATGGCATTTAATAAATTATAATAATATATCATAATAATTTATTTGGGGTTTGTGACGAAAATATATATCTACACTAGAAAACCAAAATATAAATACCTTAAAGCTTGTTAAGAAAACAAACTAAAATTATTAAATTATTACAAAAAGAACATATATTTCTTAATTCTTCTATTTCTTTTTTGTCAACTTCAATGTCTAATATGAGTAAGGAAATGTCAGAATATTCTTTTGCTAACATTATGGGAGACCATAATACTCACATTAAATTAATTCTTGGTGCATACATGCACAACACAACTATCTCAGCAGACGTATTAAATTACGCTTCGACAGGACATATTCATCCTTATTTATTAAATAGACAAGAATTTATTAACAATCTAAGAGATATCAAGGTTTCTGTTCCATCAGGGACAGATTTACCTGTATATTTGCTACTAATAACAGTATTGTACTTTTAATTAAACTACCGTTAGTTTATCAAACTCATTTAACATTGTATTCAGTAATAAAATATATGTTTATGTTAAACCTTCTTCCCACTATTTAGCTATAAGCAGATCGCATGAATAGGTATTATACTAGTTACCCCGCATTGGACCTATTAAGATGTAAGACATCCACTTCTTTTTTGCTATGTCCAGAAATCCAAATACTACATCCTACAAATTTAAAACCTACTTGTGAGATCACATTATTCCAAAGTCCACGATATTTCCCTTCTAATTGTCATATCCTCCAACGTTTAAATTTATCTTATTCTATTTTTCACAAATTACATACTAAAAATCAGTGGTTATTTGTTAATTTATCAGCGTATTATTGATTATCTATGTCGGCCATAACAAATTTACATTTTGATTCGAAACAGGCCAGATCACCTTCGGAACCACCCGAAAAACTCGGTAGCATTTTAATAGCGTTATTGAAAGTGAGAATTTATGCCATTTTGGTGTACTTAGAATCGAATTTAATTAATTTAACCCGCAACAGGTCCTCGTCGTATTCAACTGCTTGCCAGTGGATTTGTCGTTGATTTCTCCGTGATCTTGTTTGACTGCTTCCGTGACAACGTGTTCGGATGAGATACTGTTAATTACACGAATGTAATTAACACTGCGACGTTTTATCGTCGACAGAGTGTATTTTATTAAAAAAAAAAAAAAAAAACCACTCGGGTTTCCCAGCGGTCAGATAGAATCTGAGCGTTGACCGAAAAATCATTTTTGGATTTTGCGGTGACTGACAAGTGTCTGTGAACTTGGCACCGACATAACAGAGTTGGGTTTTAACAACGACTTACTTGCAAAGATGCTTTGCGTTGACCAAGAACGACTTGGGTTTTGCGGTTCGCTGGAGCGGTGAGAGCTTCTGGCGGTGCTGTGCTAACGTTAGACGATGATCGGTCGTTCAACGTTAGGGACAGTGTTGACTTGTCAGGATGTCGGTGCTTCGAACGACGGTGGTGTTCGTCTCAGTTTGCGAAGAACGCAGGTTGAAGATCGCAGTCCGAACAACTTTTAAGCCCGGAAAGGGATTTTACATAGGTACATAAAGTATATGAGAAACAAATGTAGACTTTTATAAATAAAAACACTTTTTGAAAAATAACTTTAACTGTTTTAATGAGCACTGTGTAAACTGCGTTTTAACTGACTGGCTGAAGACTGACGATTGTACAGAGAAATAGATAAGTTTATATAGTAATATGTAAATTAGTAAATTGTAACAAACAACATAAAATAGGTTTAGAAAACAAGAGAAACTAGTATTAACAACATAAAACAAAGTAGTTAATTACGCAGGTTGCAAACAGCTAGTCAAGGAAATAATATGAAACCTGAAAAGTGTATGTCGTAATGACGTGCATATAATAAGTACATAAATACATAATAATATAATAAGTAAGCGTGTGCTTACTACATCTCCCAACTTAAATAAAACGTTAGTTATGAAAATTTGATCAATATAACCTATCTCAGATTAAATTTTTGCACATTTAAACTGTTACGACTCGTGTTAAATAAATTAGTTTGTTATAATTTAATATTGAAACAATAGCTGATTAGAAAATACAGGTTTTCATACAACACAAACCGTTTTGCTAGCCTACTTTAGTCTCGATAATATTTGCACCAACCCCGTAAGTAATTTCAACAGTAGGTGCAATTAAAATAAACAGTATTGAAAAGTAAACTGTTTCGAATCGACGGCTTAGTCCACTTTATTCCAAAATACACTTTTTGATACCAATCGGTAGAACATTGAATGCGTTTTATTTTTTTATAAAAATTATTCAAATCTCAAATTTATATTTGTTGTGATATTTACATTTACAATGAAAACTTTGTAGTAAAATCTTATTAAAAGTAAAAAATTTAATTCTCTCTCTTGAACAATTTCAATTTTATGACTTATAAGTTATAACAAGTGTGCACTAAGCCATCAAAATAATACTCACACTCGTTGATGGTCGAATCTTTGGGTGGTATCGCATCTTTGAATTCTGACACTAGTTCTGAACGATATATCTTTCCGCCGGCCGTTGATAGAATATTACAATGAATTTACAAAATTATGAATATTATAGGATTTACTTTGTAATGATTTTTATACAGCATATTTTTTTTTTATATATACATATTTTATATTTTTTATTTAAGTACAGAAAAAAAAAACCAGTACAGTGGGGTCGGGGCATAGTGGGGACGGAGCATAGTGGGGACGGGGAGGTCACAGGTTTATAGGAATTTTTAAATCTGAAAGTGATAAAATCACTTTCGAAAAAACGCTTCGATGCAAATCGGTAGTTAGTATTTTCAAGGCAGTACAATCTAAACCAAGCACAGTGTAAGCTAGGAAAGTTAGAAAGTAATAAATTGAATCGGCCATTTCAAAAACGACTTAGGTCACCGATTTTTCAAAACTGTCTTTTTATCAAATGTAATAATTATATACTTAGCTACGTATTCTGTGTGAAAACTCAATTTGTCAGACTCATATTTAATACAAATGTTGAGTACAAGCGATTTTATCCGAGAGGACTAGTATAGTAGAGTATTGGCATAATGTAATCAAAGCAATGAGGAAACGGAGAGGTCACAGGTCTACAAGAATTATTATAAATAAAAGTGATAAAATTGAATAAAATCGCTTTCAAATAAACGCTTTGATGCTTCTATTTTGTAATTTTATCAGTCATTTAAAAAACGACACAAGTCACAAATTTGAAATATTACACTAGCCACAAGAAACTTCATAAATATATTTTGCAGTGATTCAAATTTCTTGTACTCAACATTTGTATTAAATATGAGTCTGACAAATTGAGTTTTCACACAGAATACGTAGCTAAGTATGTAATTATTACATTTGATAAAAAGACAGTTTTGAAAAATCGGTGACTTAAGTCGTTTTTGAAATGGCCGATTCAATTTATTACTTTCTAACTTTCCTAGCTTACACTGTGCTTGGTTTAGATTGTACTGCCTTGAAAATACTAACTACCGATTTGCATCGAAGCGTTTTTTCGAAAGTGATTTTATCACTTTCAGATTTAAAAATTCCTATAAACCTGTGACCTCCCCGTCCCCACTATGCTCCGTCCCCACTATGCCCCGACCCCACTGTACTGGTTTTTTTTTTTTTTTAATTAATTTACAACAAATTTATGAATATTCAGGTTTTTTTCGTGAGAAGTTTGAAATAGGTTTAATAGAAATAAAAGTAGAAAAGAAGATAATATTTATTGTGACCAAGGTGGAAGAAGGAAAATGAAATAGTGATTTTTCTGGGCAAGTCAAGATAATCATTATTGGTTATAAATTATTATTTATACTTTTTAGTAACAAAAGGGAGAGGTGAGAGCAATTTTTTTGTTGGCTATCTGAGGAACGCCGACCTGGACAGATATTAAATTTCAATAATTTCAAGAAAAGATGTACTGAAAATGTATAGGTAAGCAATTTTTACTAATAATAATTGTTTTATGCACTTGAATGTGCACTTGTGAGATTAGGTCAGAGGAAACCCGATTTTTAAAAGAAGAATACCAGGAAAATGAAAGGAAGAGTTCACTTTTTTTTTACAATATGTAAATAAAAATAATAATACTCGGAACGACAGCGGATTGACACTCCGGATCAATTTTAAATCAATAACTGATAATTGAATTATCGAATACTGACTGGCAACTACCTACAAATGTCATCACCCCCCGACCTCTCTCTCACACTCCATGACCGGCTCGGGCCGATAAGGGGTTTTTCGTTCCCACCTGTACCGTGTACATAAGACGGTGGACAGTTGATAACGCGATCGGGCGTTTATATGGTCACGATCGAATATTATTTTGTCTCGAAAATTGATAATTACAACAACTATACACAATAGTATAAACAACTCATGTTATCATTTCTCACGTAATGGCTGCCAATTAAAATTAAATTAGTTACTTAAATTAAATTCAGTCATTCCGCAAAAAGTTCAAGTCCAAATCGATTTTATATCAACTGTGACTTAATAAAATCCACACCCAGTTAGTTATATTCTGTTGACAAATTGTTTTTTATTAAATAGTGAAAATTGATAAAATAAACATCAACTACGTCATAAAAGTTTTATACAGCGCAATACAAGTTACAACCAGAATAAAAACTAGCGTTTTTGTAGAGATTTAAAAATACTATTTGAAACGACATACAATATTTTCTATCATAACTGATTTCATAATTCATTACGGAGCAGATAAGAGCGCGCATCAATATGCCGTTCGTACACACGATGATGCCAATAGAACAAAAAATTATACTTTTTTTTTTTCGTTTCTCACATCTGGTAGAGTGCGTTTGTACTTGTACAAAACTTGTGCGTGTATACAGATAAAAAAAAACATACATCAGAGTAAAACCAATACCTTCTCGCTTTGCATCGAAGCTAAAACATTTTTCTGGATTTTTGTGAAAAAGGCATTAAAAGGGGTCAAATTATATGTTTTTGGGGTCGGTGATTACGAATTTGTTATCAGTTCTCAATTTTAATCAGCCAGAAAGAACTTAAGTAAAAAAAAAAAAAAATTGAACTTTGTGTCAACTTAAAGTCAAAAGTGTTACTTGAGCACAAAACTCAATAGTATCATTCTGCATAGATCTACATAAAATTGTTTTAATGATTTGATAACAATTTTTTTAAGATTTTAAGTGTTTTTTGTTAAAATATACGCAATCTGCGAAAACACAGTTTTCCGGCTATTAAAAAAAAACTGTAGTGCCGAATTATTTTTCCGTTTAATATGTTATGGATACATATGAGTTCCAACTACTGGCAAATTTTCAACCCAAAGGTCTTAAAATTACGGCTAAAAACCCCGAAAAACAAAAAAACCTGTACCCCCCCTAGGGGGGTGGGCATTGGGTTAAATTCAAATTTGATATAACTGACGTGCGCGGGCATACTAAATAAATATTTCTTATAAATTTCAACTCGATCCGACTCTTTTTCTCGAAGCTATAGCCAGTAAAAGTTCTAACTTAAAAACTCGTACGGTTTTTTTTTTTTGTTTTTTCAACTTTCGCCTGTGAAGAGTTAAACTTTTTCAACTTTTACCCCCCCAAAGTACCAACTAGATGAAAATTGCGATTTATAGAGTTGCTATTCGAAGGAATTGGTCCAGTATTAAAGAAGTTACAGTGTATACAGATAAAAAAAAAACATACATCAGAGTAAAACCAATACCTTCTCGCTTTGCATCGAAGCTAAAATATCCATCACCAATTATTAAAATTGATTTGATATTTACAACAAACCGAAAAAAAAAAAATTGATGAAAAAATACATTGAGTACATCTATTAAGTACTCAATTATTTGGTATATAGGAGAGAATTAGTTATAAAAATAAAAATACACTTTATTTTTTTACAGATATAAAAGAACAATTTTTTTTAATAAAAAAAGGTACTAATGTAATATTTGTCTCTTTGAACAGTGCACTAAGGATTAGATAACAAAGTGATGTCAAGATGTTTCCATTCACCGGTTGTATTTGGTACTGTAAATTGGAACCTAATGTCGTTTGTAAGATACCTACTATAAAGTTGTTTATTTCTTGTATAAAGTTCGTTTTTTTCAAAGTTCTCGCCGGGACTTCTGCGTTAGCTTCTGAAAAATGTGTTCGTTTTGATCAAATACCTAGGAAAACACTTGGTTCATAGAATTTGAGCAAACGTGGTAAGAACTGATGCATCTTACACATCATACAAGAAATCCCAGAATAAAATATTTCCAGTTTATTTACATAGATAGATATTTATATAGATGCAAAATAATAATTTGAAAAGATTTGCTATTCCTTAAACGCTTGACCAGTTCGGTCGCCTATGAGAGTTTGTTTTACCTACTCTTTTAAGTTTTACTCTTTGATTTTCTCAATTTCCTGCTTAGAGAGGGTGCCCGATGTGACGGAGTGTCCAACAAGTGACAGTCAGCGCTTGGAGACTTGTTGGAGAAATATATTTCCTGTATGTTAGTTTTTTTGATACAGCCTAGTAAAAAATAAATTGACTAAAATATTGATAGTAAAAATTGACTTGGGATAGTGCAAAAAAGAATTTATTTTGCAATGATGTAGTTAATGATGACCTAATCTAACTTATTACGATACTATTACTATTATTTGTTAATCTATACTTAAATCTTAAGCCGAACCAACGCACAAACATTTTTTACAATTATTGATATAGTGTATAATATGTAATATCGTTAAGTAATACAGGTTCTAAAAATATTAATGTTTTTACTTAAAAACTGTAGGTACTCTGATTTAAATATTGTAATGGACGATTTAACAATTTAATAGGGTGGCATGAACTTGTAGACTTTTTCGAAGTTAGAGGACTTTGATTTTTCGATAAAGTTAAACACAAATTAAACCTGTCTGTATTATTAAAATTATTTTGTTTGAAAATCATCGAAGCCGGCTAGACTCAATTAAAAATATGTCAGTGTGTATAGAACTACCTTAAAAAAATAACAACAAAAGTAGAATTTAATAAAAAAAAAAAATAAACATCCATATGTCTCAAAACAAATGACAATTGAATATCAAATCACAATTAAATAGTGTTAAGAATACAGTTTATATCTTTCTATGTACCTACGTATCATAATTATATATATTTTTTTTTATGAAAATAATCAACACATGTTTTAATTTCTATGAAATATGTATAATTAAATGTCTAAAAAGTAATAATTAGAGGAAAAGTAAGTTTATATTGTTTAAATCATTTACCAGACGACAAAGGTTTTTTAAACCGCAAAGTTTTTTTTAGTTTTGAAATAACAGTAACATTGTTTTCGAGGTGTTTTTTTTCTGCAACCTCATTATTGGCAGCTGTTGTTTCATTAGTGGAATCATATTTTTCATTTAAGCTCTATGCAAAAAAAAAAAAAAAAATACAAATTACATTAATTTTTATATTTAAATATAAAACAATTTTGTTACCGAAGTGTTGACAAAGTTCTTTTCCCGAGTCAAAACATTATCTTTGCCTGAAAAATAATCTTCCAGTCTTTTATTTACTACATTTTTGACGTCGAGTTTAATTTGATCCAACAAATCATTGTTTTTAAACAGCTCGTTTACTTTTAATTTTCCAAGTACTAAATTAATAATTATTCCATTTGCTGGCGACAAAGACGACAGAAAATATTCACGACTTGTATCGTAATCAACGCGTTTCATAAGAGCTTCTAGTCTTGATTTCTTCAGCTCGTAAAAGTCTCTATCTAAGCTTCCTTCGTGTTTCCACCGATGATTATCTAAATCCGGCTTATCTTCACCATGTACTAGATCATAAGTCAAGTTATTAACCCTTCTATTGGGACCATCTACTAAATATTCGTTGTTAAATGGAAACAGTTTTTCAGGAACAAATTTTCTATGGTTATTAAAAAGCACAGGCTCGGTTTGGACGTATTTAGAACATTTTTCCGTTCCATACAAATTGCATTGTTGATAACTGTCCTGAACGCCTAACAAAACTTAAGATTAGTTTGTTCATAATTTATGTAAAAAAAAAAAAGGATTCAAAAGCTCATAATTTGCACATCGATAAAAACATCAAGTTAATATAATTTATATTAGGTATACTATAGCAAACTTGCAAGGACTTTTTCTATGGATTCGATAGTTATTAAAATCTTGTTGAAGTTTATTGTACTTTTCTTCTAAACATTTGTACTTTTGCGTCCAATACATTTCTTGTGTTTGCATAGCATTATCACCTGGCTGTGGTATCAGCTAAATTAAAATAATTAATTATACTTACAGATTTAAACAACTTACATGATATAGCATCTTGTCTTTGTGGACATCCCCACAGTCGTAGGTCATGATATTTTGACGGCCACTGAACTTAGGAACTCCGTCATTTATATTTACAGACATGTTACTATCGCAGTTTTTTATTCCATCTTTAACGACTTCAGCAGCATTGGGAGAGGCATCCTCGACGGTCATCAAAAATGTATTTTCCATTCTTAATATTATATTTCCTGGAAGTTCATTCTCAACTGCTTTACTTACGGATGTTCAACTGCAAATGCAATATTTCTTACAGAATGTTATGTGCCAATGATTAAACATAGAGATATGTATTATACATAGATACTCCAAGTTAATAGAAAGGATTTATGAATAATTGTAATGGCAGCCAAAAATCTAGTGGTGTAGGAGCCGTGCCAATAGAGTTGTAATTTGTTCATCCATGAAATTGTAATATTTTACAAAGATAATTGATTTAATAATATGTTTGTTATTATCGATGCAACATTAAAACATTGCAACAATATTAGAGTTATTTCAATTTTTATTTATTTCAAAAGTTTTAACTTGAACATTTTCCAGTGTACATCATCAACACTGTGTTTTTTTTAACTGTGTAAAGAATTTTTTAACTTTAAATAAATTATAGTTGTTACTTTTAATTAAGTAAAATGCGCACGTCTTGTAAGACGTTTTTACATGTTGGTCTTGTGTTCAAACGAAAAAAGTTTTACCTAACTAATGTATCATTTTCCGTTAGACGGATTTCCAGTTAATCTACTTTATATCGAAACAGAGCACAGCAAAGCGATGTCACCCTTTTTGTCTATTCAATATTTACACACAATATACAAAAAACATTTTTAAGACACTTTCTCGATACCAACGTCCAACCCATTTTAAATATGATTACCTTGTGGTCAAGCCAATAGAAAATAAAAATTAATGAACCAAAGTCTATAAGCAACTTGAGCAACTTATACTATGGTCTCTGCGTAACCTCGATTACCCAGTCATGCTTAATAATGCAATCCTTTCTACAGCCAGTGCAGTTAAGTTAACATTGGTCTCACTTTGGACTAAACTAAAATGTGACCTCATGTAGAAATAAACGTTTCTTTATACATTGTATACAAATCAATCCACGTACTGAGCTGGGTCTTAAACTTAAACATTTTCCTAAAGACATATATCCATCAACACTGCGGTTTTAAAAACAATAACTATAAATAAATCATGGATCGAGTAAAGCACACTCTACGTACTACAACTGAAATTGTTCTTTATTTATTTGGACTCTTAATATATTTTCTAAGCAGTTACACAGGCAACTTATACTCTGGTCTCTGCGTAACCTCAATTACCCACCAGTCTGCATAATAATTAATTCTGTCTACAGCCAATGCTGTGAAGCACATTGGCCTTACTTTGGACAAGAGACTCACTAGGGGTCCACATACAAACCTTAAGCATAAAGCTTGTAGAAATCTATAATCCGAAATTTTATTGTCATTTTACTACTGTCATCATACTTGCTACCTATTACATGTATACTCGTATATTGTAAATAAATATTTAATGAAAAAGAAAACTGGAATACATGTTTTTTACACTAAATGAGTTCTTACTACTATACTTTGTAAAAATATACAGAAAAGTCGAAAAGCGAAAATTAATCAATATTTTTTTAGAAAGCTGAGATTATTTTACATAAGAAACTAAATTTTAATAATTTTTTTAATGACCGAAGATACAATAAAAAAAGAACGGTAAAAAAGAGGTGTCAAGACAAAATACTTACCCCCATGGCCAAACGAACTATCTTTTTTTAATGGCCTAAGTTTATCAACATCATAATTTAGAACACTATTCACATGTGTTACAAAACCGGATTGCTCGATTATTTCATTGACTGCGATTTTCTTTTAAACCGAACAAAATATTCTAATTCATTATGAAAACTACAACATATACTTTTTATTTTAAACGTAACCCAAGTGTTATTTTAAATTAAACTTTTTTTAAAAATTTTAACATTTTTATGTACACAATATATTTTACAGGTAATTATTTTTATTGTTTGAAATTTAATAACACTACACACTTTCAATATAATATTATGATAAAATAAATTATACATACAACTGGCGTCGAGTCAATATTTTTAACGAGTCGACTGTCATAACAACCGTTCACGTCCTACAAGTGACCTTAAATATTATAAAATTAACGCAGGTATGTTTGAGGTCTTAGAGTCAATATGAAATTAGGTAAAGCGATAAAATAAAATCACTTGGCTCGATTGGTAAATATATTGAAACTATTGCGGCTGTCAAATTGTTAATAAATGAATAACTTCTTTCAAGTCAATTAAAACGATGCGGGACAGTTGTTAGGCAGCTAAGTTGGCTCCAAACAAACCTAAATAGGAGGCATTGAAAATACAAATTAATGAAAATGATTAATTTTCAAAAGTAAACAAGAGTTATTTTATTTATCGAGTATATTTTAAGGTGAGGGTACTCAAATTATTATTTGATCAATACAGTTACTGTAATACATGCGTTTTTGTAAAAACCAATATACAAAATAACTGTATTATTATCTAGGTATTTGTCAACTGCTTTATATTTTTACACTTTAATCGTTTATAATTGAGACATTTTATTAGAACAAGAGTCCAATTATTTGGCTTTTTTTGCAAATGTTACGGACCCTATTTTGTAAAGGACTTTAAGTAACGGTTAAATTGTAAATTGATCTTTGGCAGATGTGGTTTAAAGATAAAATAGATGATGTTTAAATAATTTGAGACACCAGAATTAAAGAATATTAATTCTTATACTCCATTTGTACAGTTTAAACGGTTAAATTGAACGCAAGTTAATTTCCGACAAGTAGGTGTAACAATATATGTTTGAGAAAACGTCGTGGATTCGATAGTGTTGACCTCGCTGCCAGAAATCTAATCTAACTTAACCGACAACGCCTACAAAGAGTACAAGGTTAAACTCATGACAACAGTAGTGTTTGAAAATGATTAAAACAATTAGATGAATTAAAACTATTGGGCATGGCTGATTGTCGACAAAAAGCACATAATATATAATAAGCACAAATAAAGAGAACAAATATAACATGCACTAATTGGGCTGTATCAATTTAAGAACAAAGAGAAGCTAGTTGGGATGTACATATTGTTAATTGGTGATAGTTGAGCGAAGGTCGGATCATACTACAACATAAAATCATACTAATCATGTATTACAACACCAAATGTGTTATTTTTTATAACATTTTATATTATATTACAATATTTGATATTGTGGTAGAATATTGCAAATA